ATGTACAGTGAAATGAGAGTTGCAGAGAACCTACCCCACTTTCTCACCGCTCCCACACCGGGACCCGATGTCAAGAAAAATGTACAGAAGACCGGAGATGGGGGAGGGCGCAGACGGCTGGCGTGACCAACACTCAACAGGCGTACTAATAGTCCACCTCGCTAGGTAGGTTCCCGGCTGGGAGCGCCATTAAGGCCACATTAAGAAGGAGCCATTGAGCCTGACTTTCAGCCCACAGTTAGCTACTCCACACAACAAAACACACACTGGGCTGACTGCGATGTCCACGTTATCCTGTCAGTTGGCAACCCTCCCAGCCACGGCTTCTAGCGCACCGCGATAGTTTCAAGCGCATCAAATTGTTTGTAGAGAGGAAAAAAATGCACTGAAGGTCGACCTCACTATCTTCCCCACCGCCAGCAACAGGCCACTGCCTAGCCGATCGGTCACCTGATGTGGGATGGATGCAGTGCTGACTGACTAATGACGGCTACTAAGCCAGGATTAGCCATTCTGGTCTCCATTGTCTTCGCCAGACCAGGAAGACTGGAATAACCATTTCTGGATTTTTTGCCTTCATCAGTCAGTCATACCCAGCCCCATCTCACAAAAGTGCCGTATGTCCATACAGGAGTCGCCGTTAGATAGAATGCTTAAAACAGCTTGGAATTTCTCTGAATTGCAAAGCAAATCAAAGTTAAAACATCCGTGGAACCTTCATTTTTACGCCGTTGTATGCCTGCCGGTGATACTAGAGCCTGAAGAAGATTTTGACAGCAAAATCCTCTGCATCGGCCCCACCCCATGCTTTCGTCCGCATTACTCTTCGTGTGGTCGTTCTGCGCCCTGATAGGTGATGTTTTTTCCCCACTAAACAGGGGAATAACCAGTCAAATCGATCTGTGGATAGTTTAGAGTCGAGCGTTTGCCCTGCGGTTGGCAAATAACGAGAACGACGGTACGGTCTGATTCTTAGCAGCCTGGGCCGCATAGGACTTCTGCTTTCGGGGTGTGCCATCGTTCCTCAGTAACAGTAGTTTAAGTAGTGCACCTCATATACTCCTGGTCCCAGCATTTTTTCCTAGGAAAAAGGTGGTTATAGGGGTTTTCATGGGTGGGTAATTAAGATTTGCTATGGAATACGTATTAATAAATGCTAAATGCATTTTTATTTTATTGTATTTAGAAATGTTTTTGATTCATATCTGTTGATTTTCCTAATCTGTATCATCGTTCAGCGTATTGCGGAAAACCCGATTATCAAAATGCAGGTTTCTCGAAATTCCTGATAAAATAGAAATGATGGTTAGGAGGTCGTCTACTTCAACTTACCTGTGGTCCAAGTTACCGTTCTGGAGTTAGATTAGTATAGTCCGCGGGGCGATGCGCCGGGCACACCTTCTTCAATTTACATGCGGAAGAACTCACTCTCAGCGGCCGTGGGAAACAAATTCAATTACATTTTTTTATTTTACACTCCTATAAATTTTCTCCACTGCCTATTCTATTTCCCCACCCCAAAGCCCCTATAACTGTCGTTTTCGTATGATAAAATGTTTGGACTAGGGTTATATGAGGTGCACTATTTAAACGACTTTTGCCCACTCCTCTTTTCAAGCATTTGAATTATGTTTTATTGAATACGGAGACTGGCTGGATTCCGCAGTAGCTGATTGCTTTCAGATCAGATATTCATATGCACTAAGCCTGCAGTAGTTTACTCGCGTATTTATTTCCTCAGAAACGCATCATATGTAATTGCGGATCCTTCAGAATGACTTTGCTTAAATTCTGTCATATCTGTTTTAACTTGAATATGTTGTGTACCGTTTGTAATAGGGTCTTCGGCGGCAATACCTATTACCCTTAAATATACTGAAGTAAACTGAGCTAATGTAAGTGTTATTCTTCACTAGCTAAGCAGCAGCTGACTGACGAGGATCGGAAGGAACTCTGTAGCGTGGTTGACTTGTCGCGTTGCTCCCCTGACGCCCTTGAGGAAGCCCTGGACGCAGACCTCCTCCCCGTCCGTGTAATCGCCAAAGCTGCAATTCAGATGGCCAGGACACAAAGCTCTGACAGCCCGGCGTATCAACCGCAACCAGTAAGTCAATTTGACCTCTTTTGGTTCTACGTGTTCAAAGTGTTG